GCAGCAAAGCGCTGTTGGGGATTTGCGTTTGGGTTGTATCGAGGAGGCTGATGTGAAGACATTGTTGCCGAGGCCCCTGGATTGTAGGCCTGATATTGCCCAGATGGTGGGGGTGGAGGATATCCATTTGGTGGTGCCGATGGCGGTCCGTGTCCATTTGGCATATGCCGTGTTGGCGGCGGTGGTGGTCTCTGAAATTGGGGTTGTGCGACATGCGACGACATGGTATGAGCGCGACCCTGGGAGAATTGCGGGGTCTGGGAATTCATGGTATGGGAGCGTCCTGCGGGTGGTGCGCCTCCAAAAATGTCAGAATACGCTGCATCCCGCTGCGTAGACGAGGCGGGTCCGTGAGGCCGGTAATTCCGGCTACGCTGGCCCCCCAAATCCGCCATTTTCACGGATTATCAGCGACCGAGGACGAGTAGCAGTGGTCTAATCAGATACGGAAGGTATATCTAGTCCGGGATGCGAAGAAGGCGAAAGGGGTATCCGGTTTGATCGTGGAGAGCGTCCAGGGCGTCGCAAGAGGTCTGTTCAAGATCGTAGAGAACGGGAGAAACAGTAGAGGTGGAAAGAGAATAAAATATTCGGTAGGCAATGACCTCGAAAGAAATATTGGATTGTCTCAAAAGCACTGATGGGACTCAATATTCCATAATTCCCCTCAGTTTGGATGGGGAATTTCAAGGCAATATCAAAACGGTATTAATGGAAAAGCGCCAGGAGCCGTGAGCGCAACAAAGTCAAGGCTCCCTTCGATTTCATGCCCTCAGCATCCTCCGAAATTTGAGGTGAGTGATAAAGGTAGGAGAGTTGTTGAAAGTGGGGGTGATGGTTAGATGTTGAAAATGCAGTAATAAACTGGGGGGGAAAGAGGGACCCAGGAGAACGAGGATGGCGAAGGTGACGGCGAGGCCGGTATGGTAATTTCAATACAAAGACTTCTAATATGCGGGTGATAGGGCGTTTAGAATTGAATATCTGGAATACAGCAAGTACGGTATCGTCACCGCCTAGAAGCAGACAATGGCGTGGACTACGGCGGGCGAAGTGGCCATGTGGAACACCCAAAGCCCCGAAACCTCCAGCTACCAACAGCCCAAACTTCTCCCTGCCCTTGACCTTGTATCAAACAGGTCTCATTTTCTTCTTATATTTCTGTGTGATTGGCGAGATTAGTCTTGCTCCAGCATCACTATGGCAGACAGTGAGCTTGCGCCCAAGTTCGCTCCCTTCTTCTCCTTCGTGAGTTCAAGGCCCTAAAAACATTGGAGTTAATAGACTAACAGGCTTCCGATACTAGGCTGGCATTGCTGCTGCAGTGAGTTTATAACCTCCTTTCGATTCGACAGTATGCTAACAGTTCCCTACAGATGATCTTCGGGTGTACGTGAAATACCTCGCGCGGATGGAGCCAGCTCTCTAGGTTCTAGGTCTTTGGACAAACAGCTTACAATCTCACAGCGGCAGGAGCAGCTTATGGGACAGCGAAGTCTGGCATTGGAATTGCAGGTGTGGGAACCTATAGGTCCGATCTCATCATGAAGGTAAGAAACCATCTATCCCAGGTTCGCTGGTTCAGCGATGAGCAGCATGGTAGCTAATCAAGTTCATGGCGGCAGTCCCTCATCCCCGTTGTTATGTCCGGTATCATTGCAGTTTACGGTCTCGTTATCGCCGTGCTCATTGCGCAAGCAGTGGGCCCAACAACCAACATGAGCTTGTACACGTACGTTTTTCGCGAGTTGGGTGATGTGGAGCTTGGCACAAGCTAACACTGCACAGAGGCTTCATGCATCTTGCCGCTGGAATGTCAGTTGGTCTTACGGGTGTGGCTGCTGGTTATACAATTGGAGTTGTGGGTGATGCAGTAAGGACCCTATATACGCAGCAACGTGAGAGGACTATTGAGGCTCTAACAGCTACTCTAGGGTGTCCGAGCATATATGCAACAGTCTCGGGTTTACGTGGGAATGATTCTCATCCTGATCTTTGGCGAAGTTCTCGGACTTTACGGGTACGTTCCAAGTCAGATTATTTAGATTACTCTTTGCTAACATGGTCAGCTTGATTGTTGGTTTGATCCTAAACTCAAAGTCTTGAGCTCTGAGCAATTTCGTACGCCAACTCATTCCACCACACTGTTTCGATCCGCTACCGGTCATCCTGAGCTTAAAGAGACACCATTTAATAAACGTGTACTAAAATCATAACCAGGACAGATAATGACCATGGGACTGGATCGAGATATGGGACTGACTTGGACTGACTTCTAAATCAAATACATTCTTATTTCTGGTGTACAATAAAGGGATCTTATATATAGATTCGGGATCAAATCAAAGCTTAGAGCTTACTCAGGTCCGGTTTATCACCGTAGTCTCTTCCCGTTCAGCCCCGCCCCCGAATAGCAAAATACGTCAGAGCCAGAACTTCTATTCTTACAACTCTTTGCCCCGCGATTTTTCTGAAACCCCCAGACTCTTTCAAGTCCTCAATGTTCTTTATGATTTGAAACTCGGAGTTAACCTGTGTTGCCGATTGGTGGCGCGCTAACTGGGTCTCCATACACACTTTTTTTCTTCCCTCTTCTACCGCGACATGGTCTTTGACATTTAAACCATTCTAATGGCAACTGGAGCAGTGCAACATTCGCCAAATGAGGCGCCAGGAACCATGGTCTTTCCCAAGCTAAACGGAAACCTGCATCACAGGGAAAAGCAACTTGTCGAGTCCCTCCGGCCGTCTCCGCGATCCTCGAACCCTTTTCTTATCACCGAGCGCCAGGATGAGAAGCAACTATGCATCTCGTCGAGGAGTCTGCATGTGAGCGATTTTGCGCTCGTCAAGACTCTCGGAACCGGTCAGCGCGCGGCCTAATCCATATTTCTCTTACAAGAGTCACGTCTGACTGTTTATGGTTTTCATCGTATAGGCACTTTCGCTCGGGTATGGCTCGCAAGGTTAAAGGACCAAAAGGACAAAGACAAAGTCTATGCGTTGAAAATTCTGCGAAAGGCGGACGGTAAGCGCTACTTTGTCTAACGTTGCGCGTGGCGAGGGATAACTCGTGCTGATTGCGGCTGGAAAGTGATCAAACTCAAGCAAGTGGAACATGTGCGCAACGAGCGAAAGGCCCTCGCAGCCGTTATTGACCACCCTTTCATCACCACCTTGATTGCATCATTCTCGGATGAGAAGTGCCTCTACATGCTGGTATGGCAACTTTCTTTTCTTTTTTGGAACTCGGAACTTGTTTTGGAACTCGGAACTTGTTTTGGATGACCACTAGGTGCTGACCATTGTTAGCTGGATTATTGTCCTGGAGGTGAAATATTCACATATCTCCGGCGACAACGACGCTTTAGCGAAGAAGTCTCGACGTTCTATGCCGCCGAAATAACAATGACAATCGAGTTCCTACACGACATCCATGGAGTTGCCTACCGAGATCTCAAACCGGAGAATATCATGTTGGATGCGGACGGTCACCTCAAGCTTGTTGACTTCGGGTTTGCAAAGCAAGTCGATAATCGCGAGACATACACATTATGTGGCACGCCGGAATACCTAGCTCCGGAGGTCATTCAAAACAGCGGCCATGGACTTGCAGTGGACTGGTGGGCTCTCGGAATATTGATCTACGAATTCTTGATCGGGCAGCCACCTTTCTGGGATCAGAACCCTATGCGCATCTACGAGCAGATTATCGAAGGCCGTCTACGCTTCCCTCCGAATATGCCGCCCGCAGCACAGAACATCGTCTCCCTACTCTGTAAAACAAATCCGTCGGAGCGACTGGGCCACATCTCTGGTGGCTCGACACGAGTCAAGTCCCACCCTTTCTTTCAAAATGTCATATGGGATGATTTGTTTTATCGCCGGGTGAAGGGGCCTATACTTCCCCGCCTATCCCACCCCGCCGACACCGGTAACTTTGAAGAATACCCGGATCCCCCGACCTCAGAAACACGAACATTTACACGGAGGATCTGAAGAAGAAGTACGAGCCGTTATTCAGGGACTTCTGAAAGATTCGTTTGCCATTACAGCCCATCAAGCTCCCACCGAACCTTCGCTCTTCCGACATTATCAGATGACCGCCATCTCTCTCCAACCCCACGGGACCCCCACGGACGCGTCCCCGGTGAGCGAATGCTCCTCCACCCAGAGGCCACACTCGCGATCATTCGCGATCATTCGCGTCAATCTTACCTTTTTTGCTTTCAGATGCGATCCACGACAGCCCTTGGCAGGTATCTGTGGCAAATCTGGTCTCGGGGGGGGTATCACACTCCTCATGCTATTCAGCTGGTCAGCCATCATTTGACCTTCCCCCCACACCCACACTCGTGGACAACAAGTATGGTGACCACCCCGGGCAGTATTGTTTTTTTTTTTTCCTTTCTTTTTTTTTTACATACACTTCCCTTCGCAGAACTTTGTTTTTCGATCATGATCATGGAGATCGATCACCTGGAGTTCATACTCTTGCCTACGAACCCACAGCAACTTCACAAGGTTTCCAAGCGCAATCTTGTGAACGGGGAGCGTTTTAATACCATTGTCTTTTGACTCTCTTTTCGTCGTAAAGTGATCAATATAACTTACATAGGTGGTTGCTTATTGCACATATTCGGGATTTTCGATATTGTCTACTCAAGATAATGCTTGGTGCACCTACTCGTAGGTGTTTTTGAGTAGAAGACGCGAGAATCTGGGAAGAGAGGGAACCCTCGTTAGGTATGCATAGGATGGATGTACCCAGTCACATAGTCATCGCAGATTTTATGATTAGAAGCTAGTTATCACATTATTATTGTCTTTGAAGACCTCTATTGTATTGTCTATGGAAACTTGAGTACAGTATAAATACATAGATCGGTTCGATGGCAACTCGAGATATTGGGCCTCCCAAGTATATTCAATCCCCAAATGATAGGATTCAAACCTTTCATACATTATATAGTACCACATCCAACTCAATTGGATCTTTCCTAGGTCGCTTTGCACAAGCGGCCATCCTCACTCTCGGTCCACTCATCGGAACCGACAGCAGTTCTGGCGTAGAAGATATTGTTCGGGTCATACTTGGCCTTGACCTTACGCAAGGCATCATAGTTGGTACCGTAGAAGACCTCTTTGAAGTTGGGCTGCTGGAAGTCACCCTGCCAAAACGATAAGCATGTGTTCATAATAATGAAGGAGATTAGAGTTAGATATTGGTTTACATACCTCATTCATATAAGCACCGGACTCGGGAGACAGCGCAGTCAGCTTAGGAATGAAATCCTCGGTCATTTGGCGCTGGCGCTCCAACATGAGAGCATCATTATCCCACTCCCAAGGGGTAGTCAAAGTAGTATCAATCAGGGTCTCGCGCCAAGCAGGGAGGACTGCGTTGTGGACGTCTCCAGTCACCTTCTGGGAGACGTTCAAGCCGACACCAATGAAGACACCACCGGCCTCGGTGATCTCACGGTAGGCAGTCAGCAGGGCGTGGTTGTTGTCCTGAACGACCGATCTCGGGACCAACCAGCCTCCATACTGGGCAGTGCCAACCTGGATGGGGCCTTGCATATCCTGGAATTGACGGTAGTAGCTGTCGTATTGCTTGGAAACGGTGGTGTACTTGATGCCGAGGTTGTCGAGTTTGTCGGTGAAGGGCTTGAGAAGGGCCACCAAGTCAGCGACAGGGATGTTGGGACCGGTGATAGGAGCAATAGAGAAGCTAGTGTTAGTGAAGTACCAAACGCTCATAGCACCTGCATCGACGATAGCGGGCAGCTCGGCGTGGAAGGCCTCGACGGAACTGTAGAAGGTATCTTGCGAGATACCCTCACTTGTGTATGTCATGTTCAGGCCGGAGACGGGAGTTCCGGGGTGTGCCTTTGAGGTCATGGACCAGACGACACCGTAAGTGCCCGCACCGCCACCGCTAAGAGCCCAGAAGATATCGGAGTATTCGTTGTCACGGGTGGCGGTGATGAAGTTACCCTGGCCATCGATGACCTCCCATTTCAGGACTTGATCGGCGGCCAGACCGTAGCGGGAGCTGAGGGCGGAGTGACCACCTCCTTGGGAGTAGCCACCGGCAAGACCAACGGAGGGGCATTCACCGCCAACGACCTGGTAGCCAGTCTTCTCGGCAAGCTCGTAGGCTTCGAAGCCCTGAATTCCAGCGCCCATAGTCATGGCCTTTCCGGAGTAGTGCTCATCCTCGTAGGAGTCGATTGACAGATCTTTCAGGTGGTGAGTCCAGATTGCAAGGGATCCAGCACCAGTGGATCGGCCATTGTAGTCGTGGCCGGTGTTACGGATGACAAGACGGATGTTGTGCTCGGTTGCAAACTTTACAGTGTTGGAAATCTGATCGGGGCTGGTAACATCCACGCTGTAGCGCACATAGTTACCCAGTGTGCAGGGCTTTGAGACGGGGTGGAAGGGATCACAAGCACCCTCGGCAAAGAACGGTGCCATAATCGAGGAAGACGATTCATAGCTGTTAAAAGATATTATTGTCAGTACCTAGTACACGCTGTTTGTTGTTATTCTACATGTTTAAGGTCAACTTACTGTTGCTCGGGAAAGAGCCATCCATCCTTCAAGACTGCACAGGTCGCAGCATTGTAGTTAGGGTCATGACAAGGTGTGCCTAGAGGCACGGTCTCCACTAGTCGACCCTCGATGGTGTTGTTGAATTGAGACCACTCAGATTCAGTGGGCCAACAGGTGTCTCCGGGGAAGCAATGGCAGGCCTCGGAGGCTAAAGCCTGAGGCAGAACCGCCAACAAGGAAGCAACGAAGGATGCGCGGAAAAACATAATGAATTGGCTTGGCTCTCATGCAAGTGTATTGGGTTTCTCTTTAAATAATTCGGAGTTATGTACTGAAAAGATAACCAAAAACAAACAAACCAGGGGGTATTGGGGTATCCGCTTAGAACATAGAAAAACCCACACTAATTGACGCATGTAATCTATGACAATATATCTTTGCAGGCCAAGACAAGCACGGACTTCGTCTTGGAGAACAATTTCCAAGGTTCTTAAGAATGTGTACAAATAGTATAACTAGTTTGTGGAGACTTCATTTGTTTGAGCCAGCCACACATGGATGTTATTTCCCCCCACCTTCAACCACCTAGGACCACCTGGGACCACCTGGTACCACCTGGGGCCTATTCTGTAGCTTTTGGGAAATTTCCTCAAACTTTAATGTGTGTCACATCCCGAGGTTGCAACTTCGGAAAAGGTTGGCGCTTGATGGGTGTTCCATCAGTGGAACACACAGTTTAAATATCTCCAAATATCTCCACGGTTTGAGGGAATAATCCATGGATACATAGGTAGATCTTCTTCTATATTGTGTAGATCACACAGTTCATAAATTACCTATGGATTTCAGTAGCTTCCATATATCTAATATAAGGCCGGAAAAAAAAGAGAAAAAAACAAGAAAAAAACAAGAAAAAAACAAAATCCTAAAGAGAAAATAAAAAGAAAAAAAATGGACAAATTATAATTTATCCAACATATGCACAATATGGATCCCTGTCTTTTTTAGTCCAGTGCTGCAACTTAATTAAGTCGATATAAGCCCCCCCGCCCCGCCCCACCGCGCTCCACCCCGACTCATAAACCTTTCTGGTTGTACTCCGTACGAATTGCCCGGGGACTAATAATTATGAATAAGAATACCACATCCCCGTTCGGCCCAAATTTTTGTGTGATAATGATCAAATCATGGGCTGGGTATACAACCTCCACGAGACCGATCCAAAAAGCGATATCCCTCGAGTGATCGCAGTCTGTTTGGTGTGCTCAATTCTAGCTTTCCTGTCCGTATGTCTACGGTTTTATGTGCGAATAAGCAACAAGCGGTTTCCATGGGTTGATGACTATGCGGCACTGGCGAGTTCACTATTAACGTTAGCATACGCGGGGATCGCTGTCGCTCGTGAGTCGATATTCCTTGATCAGCCAAGGTGAAATTATTCGGAATTAACAGAATGACTACCTCAGAGACACGATGGGGTCAAGGACTCACCGCCGCCTATCTCCCAAAGGAGAATTTTATTCCATTTAGCAAGGTGCGTATCGCAAGACCTAACAATGACATTGTTCGATCTCGAGCCGGACACTAATTTTGGATCCATAGGTCCAATATACCGGCGGCCCGGTCTACTGCCTCGCTGTACTCGGATTCAAAGTCGCCTTGTTAGCCTCGTATCTGCGCATTGCGGGGATTATCAAACCATATCGCAAAATCATAATTGCCGCCATTATCGTGTGTGTCGTTAACCAATTGATTTTCGCCATTATAATATCCGTCTCCTGCCTACCGGTCAGCCTCTCCTTCTCCAATACACATTACATTGATCGGTGAAAATAGGGTATCTGACATCAAAACAGGTCGCAAAACAATGGGATCCTTCTCTCACCGGGAGTTGTATCGATACCGTACCATTCTACTTTGCCCTTGGAGGCACCAGCATCGTGCTAGACCTGATAATCATCGCACTACCTCTGCCAGTCCTTTGGAAACTCCAGCTCCGCCTCAAACAAAAAGCCCTCTTGGGATGCCTGTTTGCGCTCGGCTTCTTCGTGACCGTCATCCAGATAATCCGCATCCTCACCGTTTGGGACTTGAAGACCTACACCGACAGCAAGAATATCGTAATCTGGTCCTGTGTGGAGACCAGCCTGGGTGTAAGTGGGAATTTTACTATTTTCTATTTCTCAAAGTCCAAGGACAAAACTAACGAAACAAAAATTGCATAGGTTATCATCGCCTGCGTTCCCACGTACGGACCTCTGTTCAAGTCCTTCGCTTCCACTGTGACCTCATACAGAAACCGTGACACTTCGCGTACCTATGCGCTTGACTCTGTTCGCCAAGGAACGGGGACGGGGACGGGGACAGGGCGCAGAAAGAGCAATTTCGGCCCTATATCTGAATCCGAAGGGCACCAGGTTATCGATATTCGATCCGGGTCGCAATCGAATGATGGGGGTAGCGAGGAGCATATATTATCGGAAGCGGACAACTTAAAAGTGTATGTGACTTCAGAGTTCACAGTTAAGTCTGGCACTGCTCCTTGATTTGGCATAGGGTCTTGGTGTTATTGGACTTTGGGAGATTGGGAGGGTTTGAATAATGAGAAACTGAATTACATATATCTGATACCAAATACATATTTTTCTCCGGATACACCGGTTAGACATTCAACTATGGCAACATATTCATATGTAATATATCCCCTAGGCTCGTATAATGGATATCCAGACGAGAGAATGATAAATCAAAATCTCCATTCACAGGCGATAGGAAATCTTCTCGAACTTGCCTTTTGGCTACCACAACAATGATATTGAAATCGAATCTATAAGTAGCTAGTACAGCTAGTAGCAACCCATTTACTCAGCAAAAAGTAAAAAAGCACAGTGTATGTAACAATGAAAAACAAAGTGGGGGAATCATATGAACAGGTATCATGAAACATGGAACGGGTTTTAAAGCTTGCGCCTGGGTTCAGTCATATTCAAAGCACCGATGATGATAGTTCAATGCCGGAGATTTGAGAGTTTGTGACGGGAGAGACAATCGGGAAACCTAGAGGGGAGGTGTGGGTGATGCAATGGGAGCAAAGATTGAGATGAACTGCAAGTAACGGTCTGCAATAGGTCCCTGATACTATACAGTGTACAGTGTTGGAATCGAATATAATAAGGGTTGGGCATTTTTCACAGCGATGGGTCTGTTTTCCATGTGCCTGGAATCAAAAGGTTAGTACGATGTCCAAATGAGACTAAATGAATGTTAAACATAAAGACATACCTCCGAAATTGTGCTTCACGAAGGCCATGGGATCATCCGTATCCCCCGCACCCATTTGCCCCACACCGGGGCTGAAGCTGGTAATGGGTAGAACAACCACATCACCAACCTTGCGGTGTGTAGTCTGGTGGCTAAAGTCTTCGTAGGTAATGTTCTTATCACCAGGCTGGATATTGAAGTATTCCGGGCTGTTGAAGTAGCGGAAGATAGAATCTGTCCAAGCCCCAGGCCCAGTGAACTCCATAATAGTTTTATCCATCTTGCCAACCTTGAGGATGCCCGCCTTTTTCATCCGCAGAGCATTTTCGGTGATATAAGCCACCATATCACGAAGAATCGGGTGCCCGGGCTTCGACACCAAGGTCCACTGGCAGAACTGAAGACGGCGCGAATACCAGTCATGCCAATCATCGCGGTCAGGATCAGCCTCGATGCCAACAATGAATCCGATAGTTGATCGATCGAGTTCCTCAGGGAGCCACGTGTGCGCGGGTTTGAGGGCCAAAGTGTCGATATCGCTGTATATTCCCCCGCGCGCTAGAAGAACCAAGTATCGGAAGAAATCCGCCTTCATGACGCCGAGTGGCAGCGAATCATATGCCTCGAATACTTCAGGAACTGATCCATATAGATATTTGATCAGATGTTGCTGTGTCTCGTCAGGGATGACTTCATGTGTGAACCCGGGGTGCATCTCCGTCCAGCTGGCCTCCAGACCACGAAGGTCTTCGTCAAACCAGAATGATGCCGGGGTGTATTTCCATGTTTGCCAGATGTATGCGGGAAATCGGTTTTCGATTTCATATGGGAATTGATACCGGAGACGTTCGCGGAGCGGTGCTGTTAGTGATGCGCCGAGGGGTAACTGGGCTCGACCTTGCGGTGGTGTTTTCCGTGCCAAATTTGCGATCGCTTCATCCTCTTCTTGTGATATCTTCTTCACCGGTCTGTACCCAGGCGCCCCAGGAACCTCAGGGTCTCGGAACGAGCGGAGGATGAGAACAATGCTGACTACGCAGAGCAGGGCGAGCAGCACCTTGCGCGGGGTGATCATGACAGGCGATGGGGCCGGCGTAGTCGGAAATAAACCGTTGGTTTTGCGACAGCCGTAGATTGGCTGAAAGATAGGAATCAAGGTCTTCGTGCTTTTATGTTCCGTGATCCGCGAGCCCAGGGGATTTGAATATTCTTGGTATGCAATTCGTTCGGCGGGTGTGGTAGTCGAGCGATTTCAAATCCTAGACTAGAGAAATTGAGAGGGTGACATATCGATATGCGGAAGTCTTGGATGTGACCTCGATGGTCGGAGATACGGTCAACCTAGAATCGGAATAGGAGGCGTAAAAAAAAGAAAAGCCAGCAAGAATTGCCGGTCACCTAGTAATACCACAGAACGGCAAGGGGAGATGAATAGAAGAGCTGTCCACGCTGTCTAGCAGCGAATAATTTATCGCCTTGCTGGCTAATTTTGTTAGACGTCCACGACTCGATTAAGAGGATGGCGTATGCCGGAAGCAGCTTAAGTTGGGTGGAGCCGCTCACGTGGTCTTTGAGATGTAACTTGAATCTATGTCCATTTTTGACAGAGTGTTCGTTTCTTACATAGTTGATTCTTTCTATTTTGACATATATTGACAATATTAACAAACAATGTCCCTGCTACATAAATTACATCGCTTTATCGGAGCACCCCCACATGAGGTGCTTGTTGCTCTTCCATAATCGGCGATGATCATCCCGAGATAAAAGATTCATAACATAAGATAAACGTTGACTAGTTAGATAACCATTGAACTTCTTCATCTAAGAACTACAGAATAGAACTACACTATATATATCGCTTCAAATGAGTTAGTTTCGATCCTATATGTAGGGATAGTTTAACGCTTATCTGCTGCAAGCCCCGATCGTGATATAAGCTTCGCTTGGCCTAGGAATTTGATATGGAACTCGCATTGTAGAGCCAACAGCATGATTTCACCAAAAATACGAATTATTGAAGCTATTCACACTTTGTGGGGCTATACCCGATTAGGAGTAATACTACCCTTACCTCCATTCTCTCTCTCTACGAAGATCGACGCCGGACGGGTCACCGCCTGGGTAAGCAGACTCTATAGCTCTAAAACTAGTAAGTATCACCTAGACGGTCTGCGAATATACTATCGAAGAGAGAACGAAGACCGGCATTATGACTCTAGTATTGCGATGTCCTGGAATCCAACACTTCCTCTGGAAGTGGAGAGAACGGCCATGTCTATGGCCATGCTGCTCGGGAAAGATCCAATCTCCGATGGAACAGCTAGAGCATCAATACGAGGAGATCAAGAGGTAAAAGGGTCCTTTGGAGTTTAGAATGTATTGATACATAAAAATAGCTATGAAGGCGGGATTTCCCACCCTCCCATCAGTCCGACCATCAGCAGCAACAATCTTTGTATCAATGGACCCGCCGCGTTTTAGAGAGAACAGTACCTTAGGTTGTTAAACCGCTGGTAAAAGATTTATACGGGCTATTGTCCGCAATGTATCTATCTTAAGGTACACTGTATCACTCGGAGGTTGGGTACGTGTTGGATCCGGCGTGAGGTAGGGACCGAATACCTCTTGGCGGGTTAATATGAATCTCTGCGCAGAAGTGCTGATCATTGATGGGAAAGGTGATGAGTGAGAGTTTGTAGGAGAGACAGAGGCTCTGGATGGCGCTCCATGATCGGCTTGGACTAAGGGACGTTAGAAGTGGAAAAAAACTAACGGAAAGATCCGTAGAAGCTGTAGACTATGTAGTCTGATTGTAAGCAGCGAAAGCAAAGGGGAAGTAAGTATGATGTATTATCCTATCTACTGGAGGCTAAATACTAGAGGGTCAAGCTGACGCCGGCTGACGGTGATGGCTTCAGCCTGAATGTCACGTAAAACGTTTCGCAGGGCGTAACTGACGACATCGTCTGTCTGTCGAAGCTCTGCGCTTGTGTGCTCGGCCGCCTCGTCGTATTCACCATACAACAAGTCGATTTTCGCCGCCATGTCCAGAACGCGCCGCGCCTTTGGTGTGTCGAGCAGTTTGCGCACCTTCTTGATCATATGCAGACGGGACGACACATCTCGTCAATCCTATCGCTAAAGTCCCCCATCAGGCGACGGATATCCGCAGTCGGAGGCACCCAGACCTCTCGCGTAGAACGTTCTGTCGTCGTCGTGGCTGATACTGGGTCCGATCGAGCATTAACCTTATAATCTACCTAAGTAGTTAAGTATTTAGACATCTTTATGCATCTACAACATTAGTGTATCTAAATTACTGCTGGCAATATGAACCAATGAGAGAGTTATGTGCCGGTGGCTGTGAAGGACTCATGCATTGTTACTGCAAGAGGCCTCAATAGGCTTAGCTTGCAAATTAATCTAAAAATTTTGGGGCTTAAGCTCATAATGCATAATATTCCCTGGATATCATAATCGGTTCCATAACTCAGTTGGTTAGAGTGTGATGCTAATAACGTCAAAGTCGAGGGTTCGACCCCCTCTGGAACCACGATTTCTTTTTGCTCATCTTTCAAGTCTCTAGTTCTTTTTATCCTCCTTAATGACCAATCAAATCAATTCCGGCTGGACTTCATGTCTTCTTAATGCAGTCGGGCAAGGCTTTCCCAGACTTTCTAGGGATTTGCGTGGGAATATGGCTCGATAGTACCTTATGCCTTTGCCATTCACGTACGGTGCCTAGATTTAGTGAATTTAATCTTAATATATGTAGGCACCGGCCTTTCCGAGACATTGTACGCGGATAAATACTTCCAATATCCCGCATGCTATATCTGTAAAAAGAATGAAGTATGTTCCCTTTAGAGCTACCAAATATTAGGATATGATTTCAATCCATAGCCAAGTATCAACAATGAAAAAGCCTAGCCAATGGTTATGTGCTTTCTTTTCTTTGCTACACCCTACGTGGTTACCGCCGTGACCACCCATTTGCGGTGATCGGAGAATGTTGAGCTTATCTCGGCAAATTGCTGTATGATCCGTACGTGATATAACCACGATTGCGGCCTAGAGCATAATGTATAGTTCTCTTCTTGCCCTCGACCTGATAGACTTTTATCCTATTAATAACTCTCTTTTAGTTGGCGTTCTAAGCCTGTTGGAGCTGCCGCTGGTTGTTCTTAAACTAATAGCGGCGTAGCTACGGGTCGGGAGAGTTCCTGAGATCGTTATACGAAGCTATAGCTTGGCGTGCCCATGATCGAACTATAGGGTTATCTGACCGTATGAGTGCTTCGAACCCTGCTCGGTCAAAAACTTCTTTCCTTGCCGGTAAATCCTCATTATGAGACCTCTGCCATATAGGCGGTACGACGTTGAGATAGCGGCCAGCGGATGAGCGGTCTGTAGATGGAGGCAGATATGTGTCGAAATCCTTGGATAGGCCATCTACATCTCTAACAAGTTCAGTAGACATTGTTTCTATCTAGATAGGTTCTGTCCTTCTGTTTCACCGTTAAATATCGCAAGTATAACGAACCCAGAACACATGTCTTATAAATCCTAAACGTGATAATGAAGGCTGGGAGGTTTTCTGCGATATAGTCTATCATTGTGATCTGCTATCCTGTTTCCCAGGTTTTTTGCTTGGCCGACGTACAGGCAGAATGCTGGGGATCATTCGGGGCCAGAGAATATGCATGTAAATGCCAGCGGCCGTTGTTTTGATATCTCCACTAATTGATCGTAATCTGGCCAAGAGCTTATTAGAAACTGCGGGCAAATCCCGTGAATCTCAAGACATCCACTTACCCATCCAGGGAGAACAACCCCCCATCGCTAACCAGTCTCACACCAGGCGTGAGGTTATTCTAAAGCTTTGCGCATATGTCCACAGTTGGATGTCGCTCCAGGATCTCTACCTGTAACGGTTGGAATAGAGCTCATTGACTTTCAGGAGTAAATGTTCGGTATGATTATGTCGATCAACCGGTATGAGGTCCAGGGGGCGTGGAAGTTCCACTTAGATCTGCACATCAAAGCCACCGGGGTTTCGTTTCAAGGCCATCTATGTCTGTCGCGCTGGACTGTAGAGTCGTGAGTTGGCTCCAATGGCTGCTGAAACACCGCTGTTATGTCTACTGTCTCAAACGATAAATCCCATCCCAATCTAGTCGATGGAGATGTTCTGTGCTCGAGATGAATTTCCGGTCGAACCAGGTAGTACCGTAGTCCGTTGCCTAATTGACCTCCCTATCACGACCTGGTCAACCACTACTACAGGACTTATTCCACATAACGTAGACTTAAACCACTGAGCCATAAGGGCGTATCCATACAAAACCTCACCTTTTAACATCCAACATATGCAAAAACATTGATAGGCGCAGATTCTCGGCGCTATCACATGATCAGGTTCCATAACTCAGTTGGTTAGAGTGTGATGCTAATAACGTCAAAGTCGAGGGTTCGACCCCCTCTGGAACCAGCTTGTTTCTTTTTTTTTTTCTAGATTTTTGATTCTGTCATAGTCCCTCTATATATTTAAACTCTATTCTTCATGTTGGTGTTCATTCTCGCTGAAATTTCCATCAATATTATCATCATCGAAATCTTTATCATTGTCACTTGCTTTAAGTGCAACTTTAGCTCTATATTGTGCTCCACCGACGTTAGCGTTAACCGTTTTAGGTCCATCGCATCGTCATTTTTGTTATTATTGCCCTATGGGTGATCATAACTATAGCCGCCGAGCTGCTGTATGATTTTGATGAATTCGGAGTATGTACGTGGAAGGCTGAGCTGTCGAGATAACTGGTTCGGAAGCGAGGTATTGGGATTGCACTTATCATACATGGCGAAGTTGACCAAGAATTGTGTCTACGTTATGAACACCGGAACGTGCAGGTAGGATTGCAGTGATTCGATGTGAGGATGATGATGGTAAGGGCGAGCGAGGCTGAGATTGCATATGAGTCTGGTGTCGAAAGGTTGACTGCTGTAAGAGGGTTAAGATCTCGCTTTGGAAGGCTTGGATGGTGGAAGCGAATTCGGCGCTAAGTTTGGTACGAAGTTGATCTAAAATGTTGTTTGTGGCGAGCGAGATCGAACTCAGATAGTTGCACTTAATAAGTTCGTGCTTACTGTTAAATGTAGTTTATTATAGATAAAATCCAATAAAAAAAGAGGAGGGGTTAAATACCTTTACTACATCGTACCAAGTGCCACGAAGCAGTGCAGTCTCGCACTTACAATACTTACTAAACTGTTCATTGGGACCACAAAGGTGGGTGCTGGACTAAGAGTGAAGGTGGAACTTTTATACAGTCGTAAAAGCATGTGCAGTTCGCCAGTTCTCCGTATAGAAGTTCGTAGAAGGGATATTCACCATAATGTGACAAGGTAGGCATATTGCAGTAATAAGCCCATTAAATGAGATACTGAAGATGAGGAGAGAAGGAAAGAGATACTAAATAACCATATGGGCCCCACTTCCCTAAATGCCCGTAGGAATATCTGAACTCAAAATACGACCGTGATCTGAGAGCCTATCAGAATTTGATGGTTAAGATTCTCCGGAAGCAAAAACCATCGGTTCCATAACTCAGTTGGTTAGAGTGTGATGCTAATAACGTCAAAGTCGAGGGTTCGACCCCCTCTGGAACCAGCGTGTTTCTGTTTTTCTAAATTCTTTTTTAATCCTATCAGTTTCTCGAGTCATCGAAGACAGATACGCGGTGCCTGGTCGATGACCTGGTTATGTCTATACCGGTATAAAATTGGATTAAGTGGGAAAGATTGTATGTTAGTTACGAACTAACTAGGTCAATTAATAAAGAAAGAGTGTATTCCAACTAAAAAAGTAAAGACGGAGAAGAAGAAGAAAGAGAGAGAGAGAGAGATCCTAAGGGCCCTTATAGCAATAGATCTCTCGGTAAGCAAATAAGACAAATAAGGTAAATAAATAGTCTAATGATCCTTGATATGTGATAAATCGTATACTACTAGATAGAGCATGTAAGATCTGTAGATGAAAAAATCATCGGTTCCATAACTCAGTTGGTTAGAGTGTGATGCTAATAACGTCAAAGTCGAGGGTTCGACCCCCTCTGGAACCAGCGTGTTTCTGTTTTGCTAAATGTTTATTTTTTAATCCTAGTATTAGTTTCTATAACTGAGAGAGAGATCCTAGGGGCTCTTATAGTCTGTCAAAGTGGATCCTGCATATATTTTTGAACTAGTAATTTTGACATTTTATTTCATCCGAATACTATGTTTTTCTTACTAGAGAACTTACGAGTTGGTGCATATGGTATATGTAATACACAGCGCTAGCGAATATTAGCGTAGACTTGGCAGTAATAGCTGGTGAGTTAACTAACTGGGTTTTGATTGAATTATGTTTTTGGAATATGATGGTTAAATTATCAAAAGTAATCATTCCTGGTTCCATAACTCAGTTGGTTAGAGTGTGATGCTAATAACGTCAAAGTCGAGGGTTCGACCCCCTCTGGAACCACGATTTCCTTTTTTGTCCTTTGCTTTTTGCCCTATATTCTTCATCTTTGTAAGTATTTTTGCTTCCTATTCAAATAAGAATATGTGCAATACTCTGTAGGGAATATCGATCATAGATATAATTTGTTCTCCTTTAGGTCATTGGCGTCAAGTCTATATAACCTGTTGAACTCCCATATGCATGCATGATTGTTTGCTGCAGACTGAGCCTTCTTTTGGTTGCTATTTGCTATTTGTTGTTTGCTACAATTGAGCAATGTTCAGATAGTTTCTACAGGGTATATAAGCCCCTGCCTTTCTAGTTTTACCAAATAAGAATTTTTATCTTGCTTTTTCCCCCACACACAGTAGTAATCTAAATCCATAGATTGCTCATCATAACCAAACAATATAACCTGTGTATGCTAGCTAGTGTTCCTGGTTGAAATAAAAGTGCGGAACTGTCAGATAATAAAGGGGAGTACGGAAGAAAGGCAATGATAGAATGATAGACATGGAAATAATTTCATACAACTATAGCTAACGAGCGTCTATGTCTTCAGTTGATGACCGAAAGTTGAAGCCGTGAAATCACCACAACCTTCAGCCGATAAATATTATCTTTACTAGATTACTAGTTAGTTAGTTAACAGTAGCCTAGGTTAGTATTAGTGATTAACTAGTTATTCCTTTCAGTTAGTTTCGGGTTAAATATGATCAGAGATGGTATCGTAGCTTGAAGAAGCCCGCTTTATTCTCGTACGGGCGTATAGACGCTACTCTACCAGGGTAAGCGGGCGGCGCTATAAAGCGCGAAAATCCATCTCGAAGCGGATCAAATTACATATCACTATGCTTCGAAATTTAATTTCCGTATCTTTGTGGTCCTATAATCTATTGACCAGCACTAGCGAATAAGCATCCGTGGCCGGTGGGAGTAGCTAGAATCCTATAAACACGAGTAGTTGCTCCGATGTTGACTTCTTTTCAAAGAGGGTTCAAGACAGGTTCGGTTACCTGTGATGGGGATATATAACATTTATGTCCAGAAAGGCCCAAAGCCTCTATAGCGCCGCTTGTAGCCGTGATCTTCTCTCCGCTACCCTCGAAGGCAGCTTTAACGATGGCCTTTGCAGTGGTATCGATTTAGTGAATACGAGCGTTTTATAAGGGATATTGCTAAGAGTCAGGACGTGGAGGCTGGTGAAGTCAAAATCAGGTCTTTCAGCCGTCTCGACTAGCGCTGTTGGACTGTATTTCAGCTCAACTTTGGACGTGTGCCAGACCATGTTCGGGCTTTTTTTAGGCGTTGTTTTCGCTTCTCTTGTAACATTGCTGCTGCTCTGATTGGAGACCTCTCTTTTTTTCGCCGCACGTCGAGCACTTTGCTTCTTATTTTAATAATATAGTTGGATAAAGAATAACTATAGAGAGTAGCAAAAAGTAATGGACCCAAAAAGAAATCGTGGTTCCAGAGGGGGTCGAACCCTCGACTTTGACGTTATTAGCATCACACTCTAACCAACTGAGTTATGGAACCAGGAATGATAATTTTTCATAATTTAACAATCATATTGTAAGCCATAATTTTGACGTGAGTTCTGACTGAGCATAGCCGTGCCAAGCGCCCAACACCAGGTCCCCTAGTTAGGTAGTTATTTGAACATCACTACCCAAGCATAACTACTCTAAATACCTAGGTACTTACTGAGTGGTCACTCAGTGAGCAGAACCCTGAGCCCCCCTTATAAAGCAACACCCCGATCGAGAAAATCGCGACCATGGCCTAAAATCTGATATATATTGCTACATATAACTAGGTGCTTCTTAACTCAAAATAACTCCTTTCCTATGTACTCCGTACATATGTTGTACAATATAGGTAACTTCTCGATCAAGAAGGGATTCCCTTGGCAAATCCGCCAGAGACTAGCAATTGGTCCTAAATTCCTCCTGGAAATTAAATCCAACGTGCAAAAAAACAAACTTTCAACCCAATAGCACATGTGCACGTGGGCATACGCTAACCACCGCTTGGCTACGACACCTCGAAACTGTGAACTATCATGTGTTAGGTTTGATAACTACTTCATATTTAATTCTCGCTCTCATAAAAAAAAAAAAAAACCACATGCTGAACCCTTCTTACGCGCCTCTCGTGGGTAAACAGAACCCCTAAAAGGAAACAACTGTGTTGCCTACAACATAATCCGTAGACAGAGCCGTTTAGGTCAGATATAGACTTGAGCGAATCAAAGGCTATCGTTGAACATTGCATTTCGATTAAATGGATGCCCCCCACCCTGTTGGGACTAATCG